TACAATTCTAGCATCCTAATTCTACCCTCTTGGCCCAATTCAAATGCTACAGTATCCACAGAGGTTCTGACCCCGGAAAGGGGCTTCTCTATCCTCTGCTCCCTAAAGATTTGTCACTAGCATTGTTGTCAACTCATTTTTGACATTTATCTTCTTTCCTTGACTTGCCCTCTAAGTTTCTAGAAGGCAGAGATCACACCTCTTTCATCTCTGTGTTCCTAGCTGTGCCTAGCATGGCAGAAATTTAAATTTTCACGAAAATTCTTCAAACCCTCTGAATCTTTACAGAAAAATACCAAAGGAACCATTTTGGAAGGTAACCATCAACCAACATCACCTGTTCAGTCTACTATAAAAGAGCACAGACATGTTTTTTTTTTTTTTCCCCACACAAAATTCCTTTTAGTAAGAAGCACAAAATTAACTTTTAAAGGCACCCACAGAACGAGCTTTGTAAGGAAAGGCAAATGATTAATTTATAATCTCTAGTTTCAAGGTCTGAGAAGTCCTGAGAAGTCATTTCAGCTTACCCCAATGTTTACATATCAGAAAACCAAGTTCCAGAAAGTTAAAGGGGGTAACCCAGGATAACACAGTTATTTGGTGATGACACAAAGTGGACTCTTTTGCTCCCCATTTAGTATTTCTCTTTTCTCCTACACTAGAATTTTTATTTTTTTTATTATAACAGTTTATTTTTACATCATTTTGTACACTTTCTTTTTTTTTCCATCTCAATTGTAATCCCCGCGGGTTTCCCATCACCAAGTCACCCGCTACACTAGAATTTTTTTAACGTGTTAATTTTATAAATGAAATGTAATCTGAAAACATCATAAAGAGAAATATGAGGGGACTGATATAAATCTATGTCCACTTGCTCAGCATATTGTAGTTGGTCAAACAGTCCACAAATATTGAATGAACAGATGAATACTCCAGGTCTTTCTATCCACCACTAAAATAGGCATGTTTTAAATATGTCAAAGCACTAATCAGACAATTCATTTCTCAGGAGAAGCAGCAGAAACAATGAAATTTAGTTAAGAAAAATAACATATAAACCAAGCCCTTAAAAATGATTACACATATCCATATGCAACATTTGATATAAAAGCTAATACAGGGCCCTCCCTGGTGGTGCAGTGGGTTAAAGTGCAGCACTATGAAGCCAGCCACAGCCACTTCAGCACGAGTTCCATCCCCTGCCAGGGAGGTGACCCACATATGGTGTGGCAGGCCTCTCCTGACCCGCCTGCTGCTCACCTCATCTGTGTACTTCATCGATCTGCCTGTTCTGCTTCTAACTCTGTCTCTGGTAAATCCTATCACCACGCCTACCCCTCTGACCTGTACCCCAGTTCTGTATGAATGAATAAATAAATCTTTAAAAATAAAAAAAGCTAATACAAGAAAGAATCAAGTCCTTGAATAGATATTTTTCCAAAGGAGACTTAAAAATGTCCAAGAAGCACATGAAAGATACTTGACATTATCATTCATTAGAGAAATGCAATCAAAAACCACAACGAGATACTACTTAACGCCCCCACCTAAGATGGCAATTTAAAGAAAAAACAAAACCACACACACACAAAAGCAAGTGTTGGCAAGAATATAGTAAAACTGGAATTCTCATGCTGCCAGTGGTTATGTAACATGGTGACACTACCATGGGTAAGTTTGGTGATTCCTCAATAGGTTAAACACAGAATTACTATATGACTCATGAATTCTACTTGCAGGAATAGATCCAAAAGAACTAGAAACAAATACACACAAAAAACTATCCACAAATATTTATAAAACACTATTCACAGCAGTCAAAAGGTGGAAACAACCCAAACATCTATGAACTAATAAATGGATAAACCAATTGTGGTATATCCATTCAAAGAAATATTATTCAGCCATAAAAAGGAACAACTCACTGATACATGGTACAACATGCATAAACTCTTAAAGTATTGTTAAGGGAAAGAAGCCAGAAACAGAAGGGCACATAGTGTGTTTTCACATTTATATGCAATATAGAGAAAAGAAAAATCTATAGAGACCACAGTAGATTAGAGGTTGCCAGGAGACAGGGTGAGGGGAAGTGGGAAGTGACTGCTTACTGAGCTTCCTGATGGGGTCATCGAAAGTCCTGGTACTGACAAGTGGGGATGGCTGCACAACACTGTAAACGTGTTTTGTTTTTTACATTTTAAATATGTACAGTTTATTGAATGTCAAGTACACCTCAGTAGAATTATTTAAAATAAAATAGGATAGGAAAAGATGTATTAAGCATCTTTACATATTCACAGCAGCAACAATAAAACAATCACATCTGATTATATTGCCTGTCTAAAACAGACTTCAAGATAAAATCTGCATTTTATTTTAGTAAAATTAACTGTGTAATGATAAAAGTCCAACTACTACCAGATGTTGTAGAGCTAACAATGTACACTTACAAATGTGTATTATTGGACATAAAAGATGAAATTTTAGGACATATTGGTACAAAATTCTCGTACAAACTGAACATTTTCTTAAAATAGGTTTCAATGTTAATGCCACTAGTCTAGAAGAATCTAGAAGTGCTATTAGTCTAGGCATTATGAGAGGCTCAGGTTCACCGTGGAGTCCAGAGACTGACCCGGCTAGCATGGAGGCCAGAGTCAATGTCGCAGAGGCTTCTCTGCCATGGCCTGCAGATGCACCCAAAGACTTCAGTGGCTGCTGCAGCGTCTCAGAGACACACACCAAGTTTAATAGGAGTGGCCTTTTATCTTATTACAGTTGCCAAGAGCATCCTCCTCAGAGCACACAGGCAGCTGAGAAGCTACAAGTCCTACCAACAGAAAGGAGCAAAGTCAGCTAAAGGGAAATGCTGCCCATCACCATCAAAGGAAAAAGTTCAAGTTCAGGGATGCTCCTAGGATTCCCCGGCTTCTACCCCAGAAGGGCTCCATGCCACTGGCGCTGCCCCACGACTGCATAGATAAGACACACTTGAACCTTCTGTTCCAGTGGATCCTTGCTCTTAGCTCAGCTCCACCCAAACCCTTCACCTCTCTTCCTTCAGGTTTCGAAGCTCCACTTGACTCTTGTGGTTACTTGAGATGATCTTTAGAATCGACACAGGGTGCCAACTATAGGCTCCGTGGGTGTCTGAGAACCTTGGAACCAGGGCCAGGTGTATCTTCAGCTCCTGATGCAGGCTTACTTGATCCGGTTTTAACCCGTTTGGGCCTTATGGCTGTCAACCAGATAAGCCTGTATGGCCTACAATGAGCTCAGTGCTTGGCAGTGTTGGTGGTCAGTCTGCAAAGATTGCTGAATGGACAGATGAGCACACCAGGCCTATAAGGAGGGGGCATCTTGGAGTGTAATACTCAGATATCTGAAAAGAGGCTCTCCTCTTTCCAGCCTTCTCCAAATGATTACTCTTAATTTTGACTTTATGATTTCTAGAAATTGAGGAAATGTTACTTGTAAATTAGCAGCATCCAATTTTTTTTTTTTTAAGTTCACTTGAAGTGCTGTTACCAAGGACTATGTCCAGTCATTTCAAAATGGTTCTTACTGGTCTGGGCAAGAAATTACACAAGATTCCATACATATACTGTCAAGTTTGGCAAGAAGGATTTTAGACAACTTTCATCCTTCCCACCCAACCCCAAGTAAATAGGGCATTTGTTTGTATTCCCACATTGGCCTCCTGAAGGAAAATACTTCCTCCACCTAGAAAAACAATCCGTAACATTCAGACATGAAGCTCTGAGGCAAGCTTTTTAATGCAAGCTAAAACTTATGTTGTGCTTTGAAAAAAATAAGGAGAAATACTTTTTTAATAAAAGTTTCTCTGCCCAGCATTTTTCTTACATTTACACTTATACCTGATTTAGTGTTTCTATACCTTACAGAAATACAGATTTTTTTTTTTTAACAAAGTTCTCCATTAAAACACTGCCTGAATGTTTTACTCTGGGAAGGGAGGGGAAAGGCACAAGAATAATTTTCTTTTACTCCCTTTAAGTTTTCTGTTCTACACAACTGGTTTCTGGCAAAGATTTAAAAGTTTTCTGAGGTTAGTTCCTGCGGTTTTTCTTTTCTTTTCTTTCTTTTTTTTTTTAAAGCTAGATGCTTAAATTTAGACACGGTAAAACAATACTGAGAAACTTTCAAAGCCTTGGAGAAATACTGGAGTTTAGTTTATTGTCTTTTGTTAAATACTACATCTGCCACATTTCTTCTCTTGTTTTAATCCATCCTACATGGCTCACCTTCAGATCCTACATTTCCCGCGTGATTCAGTTACATGTTGGGGTTCGGGGGTTGGGTATGGTGTTGAGGACAAAAATCCAGTGGTCCTTTTGCGCAGGACCCAAGTTTAACAGGTGGTCTTGGCCCTCTCCAGGCAAGTTTATAGACTCCCACCCTCCTCTCTCCAGCGTAAGGGGCCGGGCGCCTGGGAATTCGGAGCCGCGGCAGCCAGTCCTCTCGCGGGGCCCCCGGGAAGGGCCGTAAGGATGGGGCGGAGGTGAGGGACAGCTGCCCAAAGCCTGACTCTCCCGGACTAACGTGCGCTCCCACAGTAGGGTAACCTCAGAATCGGAAACATACCCGCTCTCCCCCGCCCCCCGCCTCGGACAGAGGAGGCACGCGAACCCCTAAAATTCCAAAGGAGGTTCTGGCTTTTCCCGGAAGGGCCACCAGGTTACCCGCAATTCGTGACGACCGCCCCGGGACTGCGGGGTCTTTCCCAACTTTCTGGAGGGGCGCGGGCCAGCGGCGCCGCGGTGAGGGCGCGCTCAAGGTGTGGGAAGTGCAGTCAGCAGGGCTGCAAGAGGGGATCGTCCCTCTTTACCTGAAACCCACCCGAGCCCAAGCCCCACTCATCGGACTCCAAACGCTGGCCGATTCCCCGACGTGCCAGCCGAGGGAACCAGCTGCCACGGCGCCCTCTCGCCGCTGTTAGCCTTTCGCCGGAATCGAAAGCGCGCACTCACCTGGCAGGCGCCCCCTCCCCGGGGATCGCCAGTGTCCGCAACGGTCGCTACCCTGAGCCCTCCCGCGGCCAGCTCGAGGACCAGCCGCGCGCGCAGTCCCCACAGTCCCGGACCGCCCAGCCGCGCTCGCTCCTGCGCGCTCCCCTCCGCGCGCTTCCACCCAACCCCACCCCCTCGCCCGGGGCTCGGCTCCTCCAAACCTGACCGAGCGCCCCGGGCATTTAAAGTGACAGGCCCGGGTGCTAGAACTGCCGCGAGGCCGCCTGCCGCTGGGGGTCCCCCGTCCCCGGTTGAGCTTTGGGCTGGGACCAGTGGAGTGAAACCCCATCCCTACCCCCGAGTCACGCAAGCGGAGAAAGGCGTTAGGGATTTGCGTTTGAAGCTCTGAATGAGACGGGACTCTTTCCACCCTGGTGTGGTCAACTCTGAGAGGTGCTTTTATATTTAACGATTCTCATAACTCCCATGTATCGAATGCTTAATTACCTTCGGGCAAACATTTAACACATACTATTTCATTTAACCCTAGAATAATCCTCCGGTTTCTTATCCCCATTTCACAGAAGAGATAAGTTGGGGCTCAGAGGTGAAGAAACGTTCAAAGTTCTTGACCCCATTGCTGAGCTATTTTCTTCTTTATCATTGTCGAACCGCGGCTAATAGTTGGTTGGGAAAGCTTTTGTAAGTTGGTGGAGGTTAATGTTACCAGTGTTTCATGGGATGGAACAACTCTCTAAGAAGGAGGAAAGCAAGAGTTAGGAGTTTTTATAATTATGGGGTTTGTTATTGCATTCGAATGCTGGACATCAGAAGAATGTATATTCCAAATACTGTTTAGCCCCATTTTACAGAAAACTAAGGAAGGAAGTGGTTGGTGTACAGAATGACTGAGTCACTGGCAGTGTGTAGGGCTGAACCCCAATTCCTTACTACTTAGATCATTTCTTTGCCCTTCGCAGCAAGAGACACCTGATTAAAGGGAAGAAAACCTTTTCACTAATAACACATTGGCCTCATCTAACTCCCTGCATCTTTAATTAATGTTTACAAAGCACTTTACCCAACATACTAGTTAATTAGGCAAGTATTATTATCCTCTTTCTGAATCAAATCCAGAAGAGAATCAATTCTATTAGTCCTTAATCCTTGATGGATAATAGACTTCAGCTTTCTGTTTATGTTTTTTCCCCTGCCCCCTAAAATTTAGCTCTATGTTATATTAAATATCAATGTACCATGGAAATGAGAGAAATGATTAGTGGAAAAGGAAGACCGAACTTATTATCATTACTAGTAAAACATATTATGGTCTTTAAAAGCCTAAAGAATTGAAAAACAGAATAACTGAGTTCAAGAAAGAAGCCAAATTTCAGTAGAACTATACCAAAAAAAATAGCTTTCTTGTCGATCATCAATAAGCAATAAGAAGATAAAGTGGGGAGAATCTATCTGCAATCATTTCTTACTTCTGTTCTCTCCCCCTTTCCTTTTTTTTTGTTGTCAAACTAAGGAAGACTATTAGAGACTTCCGAATGAGGGAACCAGTGTGGCTCCTATTCACAACTTCCCAACAATTTGCCTAGTACTGGGTTTCGTAAGTGTGTGCTACACAAGTCACATGAAGAAAATGGTGAACGTTCGAAAACATATCAAAATACATTTGCCTGGATTCATTGAGATAACTTATTTCTGGATGAGAAGACTCAATGTGATGCGCTCAATGTTCCAGTATCCTAGTTCTTCCCAAAATACTTTATAGCTTTAATCCAGTCCTGATAAGGACTTTAAAAAAACCCTACATAAATGATTTAAGTGTTTATCTAAAACCAAATATAGGTGAAAATTGAGAACAATTTGAATAGGAGTGTTGAAAAAGGACTTGCTTATAAAATACTCTCAGAGACCTACTATATTTAGAATAATATAGTACTAGCAAAAGTATAAACAGAGAAATCTGAGGAGCAAAGGAGCTGGCCTTGAAATAGTATTATAATAATGTCCGATACAATAGCAGAATCATCAAAACTCAGTAGAAAAGTATTCAGCATATAGTGTCGAAAATTTGGCTACTTTGGAAAAAAATGTTCCTTTTGTTTCACAACGTAATGAATTTTATTTCACATGGATGAAAGACATAAATGTAAACAAGAAAGCCTTTACTGAAATCACTTGATGAGGATGGATTGTACAAGCATTAAATAGGGCACGGAGTGCCCAGTGAACAGACACAAGGGGACTGGCGGGCAAGAAAAGACATGAAGGCTGTCAGAAAACAAGAAATTACTTCAAGAAGGAATTTAAAGATAGTTCTTGGTGAAAGTGCTTAGATAATGTCAAGGGAGAAGGAACAAAGAAATGCCTGGTGGGGGGGTTCCTTTTTAATGATATGCTTTAAAAACCATGAAATATACAAAAAAATTCTTTATATTTGCTTGACTATTGAATAACTATCATCTGAGATTAGACTTTGCTAAGAAAATGTTGGTAATATATGACTCTCAAATATTAGGCAAGTCTTCCTGTGAACTAAAAAATTTTGAGGAAACCAAAAGAATAAGCTAAACAATATAATTGACTTTGAAAACAGTGGTTTCTCAAGTCAAGGCCACTAGAGGGAGGCAGACAGGAAGGAAGTCAGTTCCATGAGTTTTCTTTACTAAAAAATTGTACCATTTTAAAGCTGAAAGGGGAGATGGCAACAGACAGTATCCTTCCCCTTAGAATAAACAGTTAGGGTGTTTAGTCTTTTGAGTCTCATTTGCTCAATGAGGCTAGTGACACCTAAATTATGAAGCTAAAAGTATTTTCCAGTTTACCTGAGTTAAGAAAATTATGAAAGTGAAGAAAAATGTAGGAAATTTCCCCACTTAGTATTTAAGCATAGTGTAGGGTAATAATACTTAGAGTATCAGAATAGTAATAGTTATTTAGTGATATAGATACTAAAAAGGAACAGATAACCCAGAAAAAAGTTATTATAGTGTAGGTTTTAATAGGGTTTATTTAAAATAATTGAAAAGGGATGAATTTCAAAAAATGGGGCTGAGAAAACTAGCAATTTGAAAAGAAAATAGTTTTGTCCCAACTTCTGCGAACAGCTGCAAGAAAGGAAGGCGGGAGGCAGAGAGGCTGAGCAAGCAGAGTTTATTGCTCCTGTACAGCAGCTGAGAAGGAGCCCCTAGGGTGGGGTCCGCAGCTATTGCCAACTCAGTAAGAGGGAAAGGGTCTTTTATATAGGTCTAGGTTCACATTCCAAAGGTGACTCATCGCTGTGTCCCCTGGTGCGAGGCCCAGTTCCTCCCACCTGTATCTCCCGGATGCTAGGCCCAGCTGACTATCAGTTTGTTCTCCCTTCAGCTGAATTCTTTCCTTGTCAGTAAATCTTTGGTTCCGAACATTAATCAAATTTACATTATATGTTAAAAAAAAAATTGGTGCTGTTGAAGAATTTAAAATGTGGCAAGCCTTTGGATCTCAGCTGCCCTGCTTCTGGTGGTACCTGTTTGACTGGGCTTTTGGAGTTCTATTGGGAAACTATTATTTTATCCTTCCTTCCTTTCTTTCTTTTTTTTTTTTTAATTAAAGATTTATCTACTTAAGCATACAGAAATGGAGTACAGACTAAAGGGCAGGGGCAGTGAGAAGATTCACCAGAGACAGAGTGGGGAGCAGAACAGCGGATTGATGAGTTACACTGTTGAGGGGAGCAGCGGGTGGGACAGGAGAGGTCTGCTGCGCCACATGGGTCAGCTCCCTGGCAGGGGATGGAACTCGTGCTGAAGTGGCTGCAGCTAGCTTTGTAGTGCACACCTGTTGCACCACCAGGGAGGGCCCCTGATCCTTTCTTCTTTCTCTCTAACATACCAAAAATCTTTCACATTGAGTCTGCTTCCTTTGTCTTTGGCAAAAGCCCTTTCAGAGCATGAATCCCTTAATAGTTCAGGGTTCCCTGCAAGCTAAGAGTACCATAAGAATCACATAGTCAGATCAGAAAGAGTAATTTTTGATATTTTTCCTTCTAGTTTTCTCATATAAACTGTAGCAGTACTATAGATATTCTCCATTTTCTGTTTTCATTCTTTTTAACAAATCAACAGAGAAAAACTATTTCTATGTGTGCTAGCAGAGAGTCTGGCCTCTATCAAGCATTCAATAAATATTTGAAGGAAGGAAGGGAAGAAAGATGATGCTCTATGAGGAAGACCTGCTGGTGAAATTGAAAAAAAATAATTGAGTGGGTAAATCAGATGAAAAAGTTTAATTGTATGGGGAGAGAAAGAATTGCACTTTAGTGGTAAACTTAATATAATATAGACAGATGTAGATTTATAATGATACACCTGAAACTTCTATAGTATTATAAAGCAATGTTCTAATTTAAAAATTATAAAAAGAGACAAAAAGAAGATAACCATAGGGTAAAAAGAGAAAAAAACAACTATTCTGTTTCTACTGTAACTGAGGATATTACAACCTGGAGACATTTGTTGACAAGTTTAGAGACAAGTGATAAAAGATAATAATAAAATGCATTATGCTTCCTGAAAGCAAGTAAAGTAGATGAAATGCCTCCTTTTCTGTATTCCAGGTCAGTATTTTGCGACAAACATATATGAAAGAAACAAATATGGAAGCAAATAACAAGTACGTTGCAACTAAAATTGATTAACGCTTCAAAAGAGAAATGAGACTCAAAAAAAAAAAATCCCTGGTGAAAAACAAATGTTGCTGATGCAAGTTTTAGGGCTTGCCAAACAACTGGAAGAGCCGGGAGGTGGCTGTTCACCCATTCACTCCTCTTCTACAAATTATCTGTGGTCTCTTAGTGCCAAGTGTTACTGGGGTCACGCTTGGGAGATACAGCAGTGAACAGCACAGATAAGTTTCCTGTCTACGTGGAGTTCATAGTCCAAAGTGTGAGGAATACAGACCAGAATCAGATAACCAACTGATCCATCACTAGCAATCTCTTCATCACTGAGAATATAAGAGATTCTGTAAGTAAAAGCTCCCATGATATGAACCATATATCCCCCCAGAGAAAAGCCTGTGGAGTAATTGGT